TGGGCCTGTTTTCTCTGGAGAAGAGACGGCTCAGAGGGGATATGATTAATATGTATAAGTTCAGGAAGGGAGAATGCAGGGAAGAAGGGGACAAGCTGTTCTCACTGGTGTCGAGGGATAGGACGAGGGGTAATGGCCACAAGCTGAAGCACAGGCAGTTCCGTCTCCAGGTGAGGAGCAACTTCTTTACTGTTAGGGTGACAGAGCAGTGGAACAGGCTGCCCAGGGAGGTTGTGGAGTCTCCTACCCTGGAGGTCTTCAAAACCCACCTGGATGCCACCCTGTGCCACATGCTCTAGGTGTGCCTGCTTGAGCAGGAAGGTTGGACTAGATGATCTGTAGAGGTCCCTTCCAACCTTAAATATTCTGTGATTCTGTGATATGCTCATGCAATTTTTGCACCTCAGGAGGAGAATCTTAAAAAAACAAGACTGCAAGCATGCAGGCAACTCCAAAGCAGCTGTCAAGATAGTACTCCCAAGGTCTTTGAGAATTCTAGATAAAAAATAAAACAGGGAAACAGGGGAAACAGGACTTGCATTAAGCTACTGGATCTAAGTCAGGAACAAAAAATCATGAAAAATACCTGAGAGAGATTAGGAAAAGATTAGGGAAAGATACCAAATCACTGATGGCTCTCCTGGGACAGTCCTGGGAAGTGCTAGAACAATTGCCTGAGAGCAGATAATCTCTGCTTCTGGAGGTGAACATGGGTGTGAAAAGTCTGGAAGGAGGCAGGGCAGGGAATTATTCCAGGTTCTCCACCTTTTATGGTCTGCACTGCTTTGTCCTCGTAGAGACATGCTTTTAATAAAAAGCCTATCAGGGAAGGCTTAATAGAGCTCAAAAAAGAATGCCCACTTGGGAAAACTTACTTGGTTTCATGTAATGTTCTTTTTCTAAAGCGCAATGGTGCTGTCCCAAGTCCTGGAAGTCCATGAGATACCTGATCAGCATCAGCTCGTGTTGATTGCTCTGGGTCACTTATAACAGCCCTAAACAAAAAGGGCAGGCAGAAGCAATAGGAAGCATATGATCTCACATATTCTTACTTAAAAAAAATATAATAATGCAACAGTAAAAACATAGAAATAAGGAGATAACCATTAATCATGCTTAATTTTGTGTATTTTTGTTTTACAAAATCTGAGCCTATTACTCAAACATTTATGCAACAATAGCCTGGTAATTCGTCACTGGTAGTAACGTTGTGTGTGTAGTTCAGAAGGTTTGTTTGTGGGTTTTTTTTTGCCTCATTTCAACTATTTTGTGTATTTTCTCTATCATCAGTGGCCTCTTCCAAATAAATCAGTGCTGGTCAATGATATCATTCAATAAAATCATCCATGGACACTTCTTTTCTCAAGGCACTGGCTACTCAGTCTACAGGATCCCAAAGTCCCATCAAGCATGTGGGAGAGAAATTAACTGAAATCTGCACATTATGATAATCTCTTTATCAGCTTAAAAATCAAAACAAAAGTGACAGCACTTAAAAAATACATTAGATTGCATCTTTCCTTACGTTCTCTAAATGGTTTGTAATCAAAAAGAAAAAAAATAGCTTTGTATGGCTAATCATTTTTTATATTTTATAGTTCATAAAGCTACTCTGATGTATGCAAATCCATCCTTACACAGATCAGTGGCACTGATATAACTACAAATTTAGCTTCAAAAAAAAAAAAAAAACCCAAAATCAAAAAACCTTTTGTGTTTCCTTTAATAGATTTTTCATGTGAAACTTTTGAGCTAATCTTCCCCGATTACCATCCTGCTTTCTGCTACCAATTCCCTTGGCGGTACTGGCACAGTTATATTTGGAACATAAACAGAGAGAATTTTTAAATTAAAAGTTCACCTTGCTGCAGCTGCAGCACTACTGAACATTGTTTTGACAGTGTCAATAGAAGGGTTCAAAGCAGTAGAAGAAATACAAGAATTATAAAAAAGACGAGCAGCTGAAGGATTTTAATCATAGAATGAACATTAGTGAACCAAAATGCATAACACTGAGCATTTAATCCAGCATCAGTAGGATTAAAGCCACTTCAACATAACCAGTATATTGTTAAAATGATCCCCATAATCATCTGCTTTGCCTATTTATTTGTAAAGATATGACAAGATACAAGCATTATTTTTGGAAAAAACCACTGTTTCCAGCTTTCATATTCTTAATCCTGTTACAATGACATTTGGAATGTAAACATGATGTTTGATGTACAACTTGGCACCTTCATGCAAGTTTCCTGATCATGTTCTTAATACCTTATATTTTAAATATAATTAAAGTGTTAACAGACTCTTTTACAACACACATTGCTAAACTGCAGTTGGAACTGAAACAAAAATATGAAATGCTGAAGTGTAACAACATTTCCACCTCAAAATATCGAGATTTGATAAACTATAGTATCAGTATAAACAAGGAGAGGCACAGTAAGTAAGTATGGAGCACCACAACGTTGAAATACCCACAGTTCATTTTAAACAAATAAGGCGAAACATCAATGAACTGGCCTGCACCAAACTATACTGTCATCACCAAACTATATTGCCATCACTGGACAACTTTAGTATATCCCAGAATTTTTAAAGCACACTCAAAATTGTGGAAAAGTTTGACACAGTCAAAACTCCTCCTTTGCTATAAATGCCATAAGATCCACAGATCTTAATTATTCCCCATGGAAAACTGCAATGTCTTTAATTAATTTTCTTACCTACATAACTGATCCAGCATCACCTGTTCTACTACAGTTTGTTTTCTCCTCTCTGCAGCTACATCCTCCTGTAAGGAAAAAAATGTCTGAGGGTAAATGGAATAAAACAACAGACACTCCAACAACTTAACAATATTGCAACTAATCTGGCATTTTCAAGTTTTTTTCCCCATCTCTTTTGAATAGAGGAGTCCTATTCAAATGAAGAATAGCTGAACAATATTCTCTGCTACCCACTAAATTGTCTATGAACTTGAGACGTCTGCAAACATGACATTTCTAGTATTTCTATTGAAAGACAGCTTTCCTTATCTCTGCATTATTCCCAATAAACTTATTCTTTGTTTATAGGTTGGTTAATTCTGCAGAAGAGGAAGCTATGGGGCATTGTAAAAGCAGACTCCAGCCAAAAGACAAAGATGACAGAGTCAAATGTTTTTTTGACAGTGGCCGACTGTGTAACAGGAGTATTATTTCTATGTATTTATTTCTATATATTATTCATACATTGTATTTTCATTTGTATACATGCTACCAAAGAAAACAAGTATTACAGATACCTAGTAGATAGTAGTCTAGACAGGCTAAATTCAGCCGAAAAAACTTACAGCTTCTGATTTCTTTATGCTGTGTTGTATATTGTAAGGCTTGCTTGTATAGCCTTGCTGAATGAGAGCTTTCTCATCAAGAGCTGCCATGGCTTCATTCTGCCTCTCTTCAAAATGTGTACCCTACACAAGAATATAAAAAAAAATCTTAATTAATTAAAAATGCATTTTTTCTTTTTTTCCCCCCAGTTTTTTTGCCCCCAGTTTTTTTCTTCTTCTTTGTGGTAATTTATTAGAAAGCCAGTCTTAAAAAGAAAAAAAAACCCCACAATCTCACAGAATCCTGCTGTTCTCTCCATACAGCTTTTGAATCCTTATTAGCTTTCAACCATATAAAAGCAGAAAGTCTCAAAAATATTGTGTTTCCACAAGCTTTGTGAAAAAATAGCAGCACAGAATACAAACTCCTAGTATCTCTCGGAAGAAGACTTCATCCCTTCTCTGTTCTGTTCAGCAATACCCAACAAAACCCAATGGATCTTCTATCTTAAACATAGTGAAAAGTCCACCTCAGCCAACTACTGCTTCCAGCCCAGCAAAGAAGTTAAATACGTGTGGACAGCAAAGAGGCAAGGCACAGAACTTGGTATGTGTTTGTACGTGTTATGGACATATCTCCTGTATGGAGGACATGAAGGAAACAGACAAAGGTGGCTAGGTTTGCAGAAGTTCAAGAGGAAGCACTGTACTCCATCTCATGCAGGCTCAAAGCAAACAGACAGGTATTATCTTCCTTTATTTTAATGCCATATTCCTTCACCATTTTCTGTTTTTATATAGTGACATAAAACTTCCCAGCAAACTTCCTATGGCTTTACCCTATTCAACTTTAGCTGCTGAACCACAAATGGAAATATCTATACATAGATGGAAGAAGTTATAAATGAAGAACATTATTTATACATATATGCAAACCCCTCTACACACTGTAATGAAACACCAACACACATTTGTCATTAAAAAATTAATTATTTCTTGTTAGTTACCTTTCTTGAGGCTTCTTGATACTGGTTATGGTCTTTTTTCTTTTCCGCAATTCTTTGAGAGTGTTGCTTATATCTTTCCTTCATCTCTGCCTCATACTGCTGATACTTTGCTTTATACTTGTCTTTTGGGGAGGGCAGATTTTCTGGTATTGTCTTTTGTTCCAGAGAAGAATGCTACAGAAAAAAATAAATTAATATTGAGACATTAAAAGGACTATGGGAACCTGGAAATCTAACATTTGATATAAATGGATGAGAATGGGCTGACGCATTTTTTGAATTCTAACATTAAGTGGTAGAAGTCTTTTAACCTTGAGACTTCCTTCCCTAGAGCAACACTGGTTGAAAAGGCTGTGAATCCAACTACATAACATCCTGAGTTTGCCTTCTTTGTTTCAGTGCCCTACACAAGGGAGGCCAAATGAATAAAAACAGCAAAAATTAGAAAAGTTCAGCACTTCATTCTCTGTTATCTCCTTCAATAGTTAACATCTTCAATATTCAAGAGAAATTTCTTCAACACTCACAAAAAAAGTAAGACAACCTCACCTAGCATCTCTACTTGGAACATTTTATGATCCTACAATAGGAGTGAATAATTCTGTTCTAGAAAATCATATTTGAAAAAAACAGAATATTGATATTCTTGAAAGGTGCCCTTTCAAGAATTCCTCTTAAGAAAGGAATCACATCCCTCTCACTGCTTAATTTCTTCAATGTTAAGACCATATTTAAATAAGACCATATTTAAATTATTCTTCTGAAAGTGACCTATTTCGGGAAGATTTACTTACACAGTCTGGTATTGAGGAAGCTGGAATATATCTTGCTAAAGGAATGCTCAGTCGGGACTCAAGAAGCAAGCAATGCAGAAAGAAAGGCCACTCAAAGGAATACATTAAAGTATTTCAGGACTGCTTGAAAATCTTCTCAGAGAAAAAAAAAAAAGGAAAGAAAAATAAAAGAAGAATAAAAAAAAAACAAAGAAAGGAAAAAGGAGAGAGAGAGAGAGAGAGGGGGCAAAACAGTGCAAGTGCACAGAAGATGCAACCCCACACATTCAACACTACAGAATTTTAGACACAGCAAATATAGGGAGAAAGACAAAACAAAGGAGAATAATGAAGAACGAGAGAAAGAGTTCCGGAAATGTTTTGTTTTATCAAAACCAAAAGATTTTATCAATCTTTTGTTAGCATTCCTACAGCTAGACATATTTATATGTATGAACTTAATAATTTAAAAATATGGTAAAGCAAGAGGTGAAATTTTAGGTGGTTTTAGCTAAAAGGAGTAGAGAAACTCAACCATGTTTATGCTGCCTGCTTATTATGATGCAGCAGGGAGAAACAAAACCAATCTGTAGCTAAATGTTTATACTTCTGCTTTAAGAAATGCATAAATTTCTATGTTAGGTATATGGATACTCTGAGAAGTACTCTTAGTCCAGTAATCTCAGAATCAGTAAATTCACATATACAGTATGCATACTGTATACTATGTCTAAAATCCTAATTAAGTGGCTACATTTTGATTACATTTTCTGCTGAGGCAGAAAAACTGCCAGGAGCTGGCAGCCTGGCTCAGGCAAAACCTTCCTAGAGTTTGCTGCTTCGTAGGCATCAGCTTAACACAACCTTCCGTAGATCCAAGAGACATAATGGTCAGTGGCAAAGCTGAACATATACAAATATCATATTTACATGTGCATTTTATAACATTTTGCCATGATTAGGTATTGTACATTATTATAAAAACAAATCATTTTGGTCGGTATTGTTCCTGAATTAATTTAAAGTTTTGGTATCTTATTGCTTGAAGATATAAGGATATAAGAAAACTACCATTTGCAGCACTTTGGTCTTTTATCTAATTACCATATTTGAAACACTTTCAAAATTCTAACTGATGTACAATGACAGCAAATTAAAAAACAGTATTTCAAATTAGCTCCTTTCTGTCACACAAAAGAAGTTAAAACATATTACATTTTCAAACTATACACTACAGCACTCCACCATTGAATTGCTAATGTTGTTTTGTCAGTATGTATTTTTTCAGCTACTTTACCTCCATTTCCTTCTGACAAGACATTCTAGACATCTGTTTACATTAAAAGAAAAGAGAAATCTAATAGTAATTACCAAAAACTTCTCTTGTATGAATGATCAAATAAAAAGAGGCCACATTTTTTTTTCTTCAAATTGAATTCAGGTGTCCAAGTGAAAACTTTTCCTGCATTCCAGGACTAACTTCAATAGTGGGGTAATTGAATTACAGAATCACTGAATAGTTGGAGTTGTCAGGGACCTCTGAAGATCACCCAATCCAAGCTCTCTGCTTAATAAATTTGGATCAGTAGAACTAAAAGAGGAAAGAAAGAAAAGAGAGGCTGTAGACCAAAAAATCTTAGTTTTATTGTACATTACCCCTAGAGGGGCATACTTTAAAGAGATTTAGCATGACAAACTGACTTGTTGAGCATGTTGGTTCTGTGCATATGGTGATTGTAATGAAGTTCTCCCCCTTGAAGATGAATCTAGAGGGCAAGCACGAGGATAACTTCTGGTATATGGTATGCAAGAGTCCTCATCCTAAAATGAAAAGGACAAGCAATGGTAATTGTGATACAGTCAATGCAAATTATATTTTATAAATTCCTGCAACACATGAATTCCAATAACCACTCAAGACAAAATTAATCTATAATTACCTCTTCATCAGAATCTCCCAGCTTCCCTAGATCTAGGCATGGCACCCTGCAGGACATTAAAATGATGTTAATAGCAGTACATTCTTTTATGTATCACAGCAAAAGCAAACCATTTATTAATTATTAGCACATTCACAAAAGAATCTCTACTATAAATATTTTCACTATGATTGGAGAGGCCCTACTTGCCAAAATCCTTATTAATCCCTTTAGCGATTTCAGGAACTGGCCACTGAGCTTTCCTCTACGCCCAGCTGCAGCGCAACCTGGCAGCTGCAATGGGCTTCTGGAAGGCCTGAACTTTGTACTTTTTGTCTACTGCAACCTCCCAAAGGAGGACAGTTTAAAAAGGTCCAGCCCAATTCCCACTGATGTTCATTGAGAGATGGCTTGCATCCTCCCAACAGGCAAGTTACACTATCAGCACTACCGCAGGAAAGAAAAAGGTGTAGAAAACATAAGCAAGTTTTACTGCATACATAAGACAACTGCAAATAACACTAAAACTTGCAAAACATACCTTAAAATATGGAAATTTCAATTTCAAGCAAGATAAAACCTCTTCCATACATCCAGAAATACTCTAGAGCAGTATTAAAATGTGTATTTTACCTATATTACCAGCAGTATTTCCAAACAATCCTATCATAACAAGATGGCTTTTCGGAATGAGAGAGTGTCTTAATCTCCAGTCTTTTTCATTAGAGAATGACTGACAGCATATACAGATTGTTTTGCTCAGATATAAAAAACCCTAGATCGTGCTCCTGTATATTTGCAAAATACTGTAGAAAGATGAACAGGCTATAAGAGAACTAATAAACAAACAAACATAAAAATTTAAAATATCAAATATGGTGTTTGTACTACCTGGTGTTCTTTACCTGCAGACAAAATTATAAGGCTTTAAATTCTATGAATGCTGCACAAAATCACATACACACACACATACACACACACACATATAAGCCCTTCACAACAGTTTTTCTGGAACTTTACTACTTGCAAAGACAGGTAGCAATTGAAATAGAATGGTCTGCAAAACGGAAAATAACTTTTTCATTAAAAATGCTCAAGAAAGGCTAAGGATAAAGCTGCAAGTATAACTCTCCCCGAGTGCTATTCTGAGCTTAAGCTCTAGCAAAACCAAGCAAAGTTAGTTCCATTATACATAATGCTTCAGAAATTCTACTTTAAGTATAAAATCATAAAAAACAAACCCTTGATGATCAATTTCACAGAGCATTGATATACACATAAGTATCAATCCTATCAATATCAATGCAAATACATGTTTTCAAAATAATGCATAATTAAATATATTGATTAAAAAAAAAATTAGGATGAGACTTACTCCGGTGGACGAGGACCACGAGTAGCTCTTGTATCTAGTCTCCATTCCTGAAAGGATGATATATTATTGCATACCTGTAAGAATCAAGTCTAAAACACACAATTTTCCTTTCAGTCTCCTCTGAAATATTTAGAATGGATATCCCATATGTGAGGCATATTTAACCTTGATACTATCAAGCACAAAACTATTGCTACTATTGAGTACAAAACAAAGAAACTTTTCATTGAAAATTTATTCTTATGTCTTATAGGTGAGATTAAAACACACAATATTTCTCAAGAGAGAAAGATTTTTAGTCATTAAGGATCTGGAATAGGGACCATGCCAGTTATTAAGATATAAAAAAAAAAAATACTCCATGCTCTTGGGACTCTGTACAATCACTGTTAGCGAGGTTTTAGGCCATACACTCCTTGTCATTGGGGGAGTCTTTGAACCCACCACTCATGCAACCCATAAAACCACAGTCAGCTGCCTCCCCTCACACTCCTGCAGGGAGTCACAGTCACTGCTGTTCTGTACCATTGCAGCCTTCACACAGTAGCACATGATGATGAATACACAGCTTCTGTGCTCATACAGCCAAAGCTCCATCTATCCCACCATCACGCTTTTGAAAGCAGCTAACAGAAAACCCCTAGGGATGGTTGTGCACCTGGGGAAGGAACATAGTAACAATTCTCTTAATGAGCTGCCAAGAGTGAGAAAAACTGTAGTTCAGTGATATTCTGAGCTGCGGATGGCATCTCGGTTACCACCAGTCCTCAGCTGAGCTCACAGATCTCAGTGCACAACCTGAACCATCCTGCTTCCAGCTGCGGCCCAGTGTCTTTCATGATTTGAGAACAGTAGCCTTCTCATGGGGGAAAAGAAAAAAAAAATAAAGTTCACAGCTGAGCAACACTACCCTCTGGTGCCTTTTAAAAAAGGCTGTTTTGTTTGTTTTTGCTCCTTCAGGCTGCTTGTGCATATAAAACACCACCACCCCGTGGTCAAATATGTAAAAAGCTGTATCAAGATGTAACAATTTAGTTTTAAGAAACTGCTCCAGATAAGTACACAATACACTGTCACACACATTTTTGCAGTGCTTTAAATAACAATTATAGTTTTTCTATAGCATTTCCTTAAAATAAAGGCATCACATTCTAGATTTTAAAGTCTTACTAATATATAACCATTATATATTTATAAAATACCTGATATATATTTATATAATGACTTTATATATATAAACTTTATATATAATAACTTTATAAAGTTATTGTATATAATATATACATTATTATATAATATATATTATTATATAATGTATATATTTATATATATAAAGTTATATATATGTAAATATATATATAACAGTCCAAATCTACTAGTTGAATAATATAGATTAAAATTAAAACTACAGTTAATTAGGTTATTGGCTATTAACTATTAGTAAACTATTAACTATTAATTTAATTAAACTATGATTCAACAAGTCCCCGAGAAGTACCAGGAAGTTTACTTTTGGAAACAGATAGGTATGAGGAAGAGAAGGAAAAAGTAGAAGAAACTAGCAAAAAATAGGCACATTTATTTTACAAACTACAGCAAATTTATAGAAATCTTCCATTCTACAAAAAAAAATGGATACAATTACAAAAAGACCTTGACATTCCAAATCTAATTAAAAAAAAAGAAAGAAATAAAAAAAAAGCAGTTTGGCATTTGAACTCCAGGAACTCATGGTCATCCATCAACTATATGGGAACTATTTGGGCGCTGAGGAGAGATTACAGATTAACTTTTAATTCATCATCATAAAGTACACATTATCTCTGAAAAAAAAAATCACTATTTAATATTAAAAGTACTCGTATTTACATTGATTATAATAAAAGCATTGACTCTTAAAATCTGATATATTTTTACCAGTGAAGTGTGTAATTTATTAGTTTTCAAAAGTTAGCCTGAAAGTTTCTGCTACAGTCATCCTATGAGAATTGCATACCTACCTTATCTGCTTTTAAGAATACCTGTTAAAAAAAAAAAAAAAAAAAGAAAAAACAGAATTCCCTTCATAATAAATGCTGAGTACTGAGATTTATTTTACACCACATTATTCTGTAATTAGGTCTCCTGAAAATATGTTTTGGAGGTTTCTTTAAAAGTTTCCCTCTCTCTCGTATATATAAGAACCTTGAACTAAACAGTCTCTAAAGTGTAATTAAGAATTTTTTAAGGGACTCAAAGCAGGAAAAAGCTTCCTAATAACATACTTGACTATGTTTCCTTCCCCTTGAGGACAGCTGAGTCTGCCTTCGAGGGGATGCAGCAACTCCTTTAACCTCCAAATCCATGCAGACTTGAGGATGGCCTTTGGAGTAAACTGGAAAACATAAAAGGCTATTAAAAAAACATGCATTTCCTATGTCAGCACTTTTGTAAATAAACATTATTGAATTAGGAAAAAAACATGTCTATCATTGATAGATTATTTTCTGCTGTACACTAGGAAAACATCGCTAGCTTCCCTTTTTCAAAGTCTCCTAATTTTAATCTTTTCTTACTCATTCTATCCTTACTCGAAGGATATCTTTCCTTACCAATGCTACACCAGGTGTCTACCCAAATTTCCCCCTTATCTTCAAATTTCGCCCCCTCACTCCCCGAGCTTTACCTGTGTTTAGGTACCCTCATGTCAGCCTTATCAGCCTGTCACCTCTTGCCAGCATCTACCCTTTTTCATTTGGGATTTACAGCTATGCCCTTGGCCTCTGCTGCACTCTTTTCTGCAAGGACCCCGCTGCTTCCCAGCGAACCTCCCGGAGCACCAAACCCTGTCCTTATTCCCAGGGCACATCCCGCTCCGCTCGCTCCTCCATTCCCCTCGCCAGCTGTGAACGGTAACCCCCCGGTTCAGCCCCAAGAGGTGACATATCCCCGTTCTGTGTCCCCCACACACCAAGACTGGCCCCCTTTCCTACTTACGGGACAGATTTCCGTCCCCAGGTTTTGCCAAGCCGGAAGCAGAGCGGTACGATCCTCCCGAGAGACGTGAGAGGCGCTTGCGAAACACGACTGGAAAAGAATAATTAAAAACAACAACAACAACAAAATAAGCAGGCTTCCAGGCACAGGCCCTTCCTCAAAGCGCTTCAAGGGAAAACGTCTCCATTTTCACATCACTTCGAGCCCCGTTACTGAGGTGCCCCTCCACGGACGAAGGCGGGCGGGGGGAACACGGCACTGTTGCATTTCTGGCGTTAACACGCCAGCTACTCCAGCAACGTGATCCCGGAAGAACGCTGCGAGGGGGAAAGGAGAAGCGGCGCTTCCCGGGATGCAGCGCCGAGGGAAGAGGCGCTTCCCGCGGGAGCAGCGGGCCAGGAGCCCGCGCGGAGCGGGGCGGGGCGCGGCCGCCGAGCGCCGCTAACCGCCATTAGCCGCTACCCGCTGCCATGGCGACGGCGGCGCGGCCGTTGGCAGCGCCCCACAGCGTTGGTTATCCTGTAGACATTACATATAACGTATACATACGCATATACCTTTTCTAATGAAATACATTGGCCCCTGTTCGGTGACTCCCTCTGAAAGAATGCTAAAAATACTGTGTTGGGTAGCACCCAGCAAAGACGTCTGGAAGCACCGTGTCCAGGCGGACAACACTGGGATTTTCCTGTCTTGGGATAAAAAACCACTCAGCTCCAGAGAAAGGGCAGGCTGCTTGTCTATCAAATTTCTACCATCAAAGCTACCCCTTAGGTAATTCCCACCCTCCACGTGTGTCACTTTCATAGACATGTACATCCCATGAACGGGTAACAAAATAAAGGAAAAAAAGGGCTTTTCTGAGCACTGATCTAGCACTGATCTATAAACTTTGATGAGTGTTTCATCAAAGTAGGACAACCCAGTTTAAAAAAGGGACTCCAGCTCTTGAGTGATATATAGTAATATGTCTGTTAATACTGATGTTAGTAAGAAAAAAGAGTGCAATGAACTCAAAGGCAGGATTCTGTAATTTTATTATACATATGAAACACAGATAACACTTTTATTGGGCATTAGTCAGTTAATTATTAGGCAGCTGCTGAGTTTAACTGGTGACAGTTGGATAAAAAATACAAGTGAGCCAACCTATGGTATTAAGCTTGAACACAGCATTCAAAACTACATACCAATCCTCAGGCAACAATTGCAGTGAACTTACAGGGTCTGTTTTGAAACAAAGCTGTCTTAGCAAACAGATGGAATTATTTTGAAGTAATATCTCTGGTTACATTTCTCTCATCTGTCTATGAAAACATCTCTGAGATTTAACTCCATACTGTTTCTCATTTCTCACTTCAAGTTTTCTATGAAGAGCTCAGCTCACCAGAACAAGTACTCTAATGAACTCAAGAAACTCACAGTTGAAGGATACAATAAACTTATCAGCTAAAAAAACATCTTTGGAACATCTATTTTAATTATAAGAGACCCCAACATTTTACTGAAGCTTCAGGTATAGTTACAATCCATTATATACAGAGAGTACAGAAATATCTTCTATAGGAAAAAATAAATAGAAAAAGTATGTAAACATCTCAGGTGAACTTCCACTGCCATTGAAGCCAGTTACAAAACTGCTAAGATATTCACACAGACAATATTTCATCCTCTTTTTAAAGCATATAGCAGTGCATGTAACTTGGTTCAAAACCACTTAAAGTGCATACAATATTGTGAAAATAACATATGCTTTTTAATGTTTTACATATTTCATTCACATCTATTCCGTCTCCTCAGGCCTATCTTCTCTTCTGGTTTAAATACATCTTCGTTTATCATTTCTTGTTCTTCTACCACATCTGGCTCAAACACTTGATTTACATCACATTCTTCACATAATTGATCCTCTTCTATTTTGTAATCATTATCAATATCCTCAAGCAAATCTTCATTACTCTTATCTTCTTGGTCATCTATTTCTTTCTCTGGAGAATGTTCGGCAAATGACTGAATGAGGTCTTCAAGTTTCTCATTACAAATGTGGCTGACATCTTAAAATTAACAAAATAATAAAAAAAGTTTGATTTAGTGTAACATTGAAAAACTTCTGAGTCAACTTAAAATTACTCATTTGTTTTCTCTTGTTTAAAGAAGCCTAAGCAAAAATTCTCCGTGAACCACTCTTAACATTTTAGGTTCCTCTTGGACTAATATGCACCTCTTGAAAGCCCCCAGATGAAACTAACACATATTTGGTTGTTAAATATAATAATTCAAGCGTTACCCACAGTTTACAATTCAGGAGCCTCAGTCTAAAGAGAATTTAAATTTAGTCTGCTTTAACATAGCAGAACATAGGCTATGTAGTCTATCCTATATATAAATGCTAGTGTATTTTAGCATTTATTCTGAAAGAATTATGATTCATCACCAACTTGTAACTTGATACACTGCAGGCAAGAAGAATAGTACTCCTTCAGGTTAAAATTAATTCCCAATACATAACACCAAAGATGCAGGAACTGAGAAGTACTATAGCAAGATCCATTTAATCTTTTACAAACTACTACAATATTTATCCTGCTGAAAATTCAAGTACCTTTCATCTTGTTTTCTGATTTATCCAATCCACTTTCTTTCATCAGTCGTCTAATTGATTGGAGTTGTGTCATTATTTCATCTTTCTGCTCACAAGCTAAAGCATTAACACTGGAAAAGAAGATAGATGTCAACAGTTGAAAGACTACCTCAGAATGTGTGACAACATTTCACAGTAAATGTATAAGATTGAAATATTTCTTTCAGCTGATAAATACCACAGTCAAGTTAGTGACAAGATTAGGTCACGCTTGTCTCATACTGTACACTTGGAAAGTAGGAAACTAGGCACATATATTTACTGGTTAATTTCATCGCTGAATTTTAACTGGAGCTCCAGTCTGACTGACAGGCTGGCAGAAGTGAAGCAGTGAAAAAAAGAAAAATCAAACAATCAAACAAAAAAACCCCCATATTTTCAGGACAATATTCTCTAATGTAGATGGTAACAGTTTAGAGACTCTTCATTTATTTCAGGCTTTGTCTACTCTCTCTCTCTCTTCTCGATCACAGATAGCCCAGGAAGCTCCTGGAGAACACTGCAGATAATTTCTTGACGCAGGTGGTTAATGAGCCAACAAGGAGTGGGGTGCTGCTAGATCTAATAGGCAGAGATGGTCTAGTGGGAAATGTGAGGGTTGGGGTCTTGGCTGCAGTGACCATTAGATGTTGGAATTCACGATCCTCCGTGCAGGAAGCTGGGCAAAAAGTAGGATTGTAGCTCTGGACTTCAAGAGAGCCAAGTATGACCTCTTCAGGGAGCTCCCTAGAGGAATTCCCTGGGTCTGGGTCCTAGAAGGAAAGGGGGTTCAGGAGAGCTGGCTAATATTCAAGCACCACTTTCTCCAAGCTCAGGGTCGGTGCATTCCTACAAGAAAGAAGTCAAGCAAAGTGGGCAGGACACCTGTGTGGATGAGCAAAGAGCTGTTGCATAAACTTAATGAGAAAAGGAGGATATATGTCATGTGGAAGAAGGGCCAGGCCACATGGGAAGAATATAGGAACACTGTCAAGGAATACAGGGATGCAATGAGGAAGGTCAAGGCCTGTTTGGAACTAAGTTAGCCAGAGATGTAAGGGACAACAGGAAGGGCTTCTAAAAATACATCAGCAGCAAGAGGAAGACTAGGGAAAATGACAGTCCTCTGCTGAATGGGGAGGGTGCCTTGGTGATGGAGGATGCAGAGAAGGCGGTTACTAAACGCCTTCTTTGCTTCTGTCTCTACTGCTAAGGCTGGTCCCCAAGAACTACAGAGTCCTGGTAAAAGAGAGATAAATGGGAGAGAGGAAGATTTTCCACTGGTCAAGGAGGATTGGGTTAGGGATCACCTAGGCAAAATGACCACCCATAAATATATGAGCCTGGATGGGAAGCACCCAAGGGTGCTGAGGGAACTGGCAGGGGTTGTTGCTCAGCCACTCTCAAACATCTTCAAAAGGTCATGGAGAGCAGGAGAACTGGAAGAGAGCCAACATCACTCTCGTCTTTAAAAAGCCGGTAACTACAGGCCAGTCAGCCTCACCTCCATTACTGGAAAAGGGATGGAGCAATTCATCCTAGAAACCATCTCTAGGCATGTGAAGGAAAAGAAGGTGATCCGGAGTACTTGGCATGGATTCACCAAAGGGAAGTTGCGTTTGACCAGCCTGATAGCCTTCTACAATGGGATGACTGGCCGCCTGGACAATGAGAAAGCTTTGGATGTTGACTACGTTGACTTCAGCAAGGCTTTCGACACCATTTCCCATAACATCCCTGGAACTGTGGACTGGACAGGTGGACAGTGAGGTGGATTGAGAACTGGCGAGATGCCAGAGCTCAGAGGGTGGTGATAAATGGGGCCGAGTCCAGTTGGAGGCCTGTGGCTAGGGGTGTCCCCCAAGGGTCAGTGCTGGGCCCAGTGCTGTTCAACTTGCTCATCAATGACTTGGATGAGGGTTCAGAGGGCACCCTGCGCAAGTTTATGGATGATAACAAGCTGGGTGGAGTGGCTGACACTCCAGAAGGCTGTGCTTGCATCCAGAAGGACCTGGACTGGCTGGAGAGTTGGGCAGAGGTTCAACAAGCAAAAGTGCAGGGTCCTGCACTCAGGGAGGAATAACCCCAGGCATTAGGACAGATTAGGAACTGACCTGCTGGAAAGCAGCTCCACGAAGAGCGATCTGGGAGTCCTGGTGGACAACAAGTTAACCATAAGACAGCAATGCCCTCATGGCCAAGAAGGCCAAGGGGATCCAGGCCCGCATCAGGAGGAGTGTTGCCAGAAGGTTGAGGGAGGGGAGCCTGACTCTCTATTCAGCTCTGGTGAGGACGCAACTGGAGAACTGGGTGCAGTTCTGGGCTCCCCAGTACAAGAGGGACATGGAGCTTCTAGAGAAGAGATGCAGAGAGCAGCAAAGGTGATTAAGGGAGTGGAGCATCTCTCGTATGAGGAAAGACTAAGTGAGTTGGGCCTGTTTAGCCTAGAGAATACTGAGAGATCTGGTAAATACATGTAAGTACCTGAGGGGAGAATGTGGGGAGGATGGGGCCAAACTCTTCTCAGGGGTGGCCAGTGACAGAACAAGGAGTAAGGGGTACAAGTTGAAACATCGGAAGTTCCATCTGCATGTGAAGAACTTCTTTACTGTGAGGGTGACAGAGCCCTGGAACAGGTTGCCCTGAGAGGCTGTGAAGTCTCCTTCTGTGGAGATCTTCCAGATCTGCCTGGATCCTAATTCGCCTCAGGTGCAGGACCCTGCACTTGTCCTTGTTGCCCAACTCTCCAACCCATCCAGGTCCCTCTCAAGGGCAGCACAGCCCTCTGGAGTGTCAGCCACCCCACAGAGTTTGGTATCATCAACTTTTAAATCTTTGGAGAATTTCAACTGACAAAAACAATGCTAACAGAACTATTTTAGAAATACTCACCAGTTTGACAGTGGATCCAACTGAGTCAATAAAGAATTCAACATTTTCTCTGTCTGTGCTAGATGCTGCTCCAATTCTAAAAGCTGATGCTCTAAGAAAAAAAAAAAATCTGTGTAAGAAATTCACTATCAAAAAGATTTTAAATTATATTTTTAATGTTTCTTATTTTTGGTATATATAAAAATAGGAATATAGTAGTTCTTCCTCTCTCAGTTCTAGAAAGGAAGTAGTAGGTTAAGAACCTAACAAAAGTCCATCTCAATAACCTATCTCCAATATTGTCCAAATATAGGATATCTTGGCAAAAACTGAGCAAGCATGCAGGACCTTCCTCCTCTCCTAGTCTCCAAAACTATGCAGTTCCAGGCCTTCATGAGCCAGTGTCTTTATACTTACTACAGTGTCATGAATTTCTCCAGCCAGACTTGCAGTTATTATGACAGTACTGGAAAAGGCAAAAGCACTACAGCTGAGATGAATATGCTTCTCCCTAAATTACAAATCAGTTTTGAGGAACAAAACTTAAAGATGCTGAGTAGGCAGTCTAAGCAGTTGCTGATGAAACTGGCTATGCATATAGTGTACAGAGACACTAGTAGATGATTCTGGCTTTAATCAGTATAAATTCTTTATTTTATATTTATTAATATAAATATAATGTGTCCAGATAAGGAAAGAGGTGGAGAGTGGGAGGTAGAGAGTAGGACATCTGTGGAATTTGGATATGCCATTTTTCTCCAAGCAAAGCCTTTATTCTTGGCATATGGGGAACAGACAGAATCAGACACTGAAAAGCTGTACCAAAAAGGTAACAATTGATTCTTCTGTGTCTTCTATAAAAGTCTTATGTTCTTGACAGGTCTATTATTTGGCCCAGAAATACAACAGCATCCATAACTCTTTATTCATACTGTTACACCATTAATACAGTCCAATTCATCAGCAGATTGTTATATTCTATTCTGCTGAAGAACAGTCTTAATATATTACTACAGAATACTGTTTTGAAGAATAGCATCATTTGGGATTTTAACCAAGTCCCTATCTACTAAAGCTTATAGAATAATATACTTTTAAAATAATTTCATAGGTTAGTAGTGACATTTAAATAAGATTGTTCTTGTACAGCTAGACTGCATCAATGAAAATATGCAGCTTTGTTTTAGTAGGAAATCTGCACTTTTGATGAACATAAACATTTCAAACATGCATCTTACCTGTTTCCTTTGCTTTGTCTTCTGTATTTTTTTCCTTCTTAGACAGACTTTCTTCCTGTGATTTCATCTTTAATAAATACAATTATGTTACAAGACTGCATATTTTTTCATACAGGAACTAATACTTAGAAACTTTACTGAAAGCAAATAATTACCACAATCATTTGTGTTTCATTAATGTGATCTTTGTGCCTGCCCTTCTTTTTTTTCCATCTTAAAATAATTTTCATAATTTAAGCAATGATGGCCTGATTATTTATGCATTTCTGAGACTTAAACTTCTATTGCTTACCTTAAGAAATTTGTATACTGCAAACACCCCCACACCAAGAGCATACAGTGGCATCAAAGTTAAGGCAAAGTCTCTTCCATTTCCTCTTCTTCTTTCACTCTTCATCTCTTTTTCCATTGCATTTCTCATTTGCTGAATACTCTGGTAACTTTTGCCTTCAGAATTCCCTGGACTCAGGTGAGCTGGATGAATTGTTTGAGGACTACCTTAAAGATTAAGTCGTTTGAGAGGAAGAAGACAAGGTGAGAAAGAAAATTAAATCTACAATTAGACTCGCAAGTTTCTTTTCTACAGCCCTCTTTGTTCATCACTCCTCCAAATGGTGTGATCAGCCCCAAATTCAAATCAAAGTTATGATGCACTACTCTGCTACCTAGATCTAACTTTGAATTCTACTTACGGAAAAGACACTCAAACTAAGCTTCTGTGTGTGTTTTCAAGATCAAGTTTTATATTTCTTCAGCAACAGCAACATTAGCAAATTCAGGGGAAAGTACAGAAAGGTTAGACCAAACAAAGTAATAAATACACTAGAGAAATTTAATGACAACGTTACAAACAGCTATAGATTAATATTTTCCTAAGAATGAAGAGAAGATTTAAGTAGAAACTGAAACATTCAGCCCAAAAGAAAAAAAATGTTGCTGAAATGTGTACACATTGTTACTATTTTGTTTTTTTTTCAAATAAAATCAGACCATGGAGGGTACTGATTTTATTCCACAAGGGTACCACAAGCTTAAAAATACTGTATCTCTGCAATTCAAGTATTTAGCTGGAAGGAAAACTATCAAATAGTGAAGAGATACTATGTACAAGCCTTAAAGTAATTCTTAAAAATTATAATTCTGCATGTAATTTGCCTTCCAAACTGCTGCTTTCATGAATTACATTATTTTTTACAATTAAATCAGTGGTCCATAGGGCATGCATATAAGAAACTACTAAAAGCTAAAGAAAGACAAGGCTGCAGAAACGAGCAGTAAATCATTAGGAGGCTGGGGGGGACTCCTGGAAGTTTTAGGCTTATGTCTCAACAGGTTGCCTGGATTTGTGGCCTTCAAAACTCTTTGAGTATTCAGTGATGTTATGTTTTTCAGAACCAAACATGTGCAAAGCAAGACCCACGTTCTATTAAGGAACCCCAAGCAGAAGACCTTTATGCAGCCAGGCCGAGCCCACGAAACGCAGCAAGCCTGCGCCCGGCTGGGAAGAGCTGCTGGCTGCTCGAGCCTCATCTCCTCCAGGCCGGAAAGCGCCGCGCGGGAGGCGCACGGACGGGCACGTTGCGGGATTTCACCCACACCGCCGGATTTACGGGCCCTCCGGAGGCCTGAGCTGCCCAGGGCTGCCCCACAGAAATATTCTGTTTATTACTTGCCGATGTTAAAACAGACCTTTGGACCTCGAGGGCCAGAAGCCCTACGTACACTGACACACTCATACACATTTATACTTTGGGCTTTTGAGCTTTTTACACTTCAAGCTTTGATCAACAGTAAGCTGCCTAAACCAAACACCAGCGTTTTTTCCTCTAGAAAAGCCTCCTTAGCTCTCCAGCAGTTTCTGGCACATTTTGCCAAGTCCTAATGTCTCCTAGCAGTAGGGCCTGGTTTCCGCATGGGAACCCAGACACAGCCGCTTCTCCTCCCCGCTCCTCCTGGGCGCCGCGGGCTGCTCAGGGTAACGCCACCCGTCAAACGCCCCCGGGCGGGTGGGACACGGGGGTCTCGGCAGGGCCCCCTTCACTTTAGGGGTGGCCGCAAGCCCGAACGAGGAGCAGGATGCGAAGGAGGCAGGGCCGTTACGGCGCGCGCACCAGGGCCGGCTCGCAACGCCGCTCCCGTTCGCCAGGCCAGGGGGACACCCGGATCCCGCTCAAGACCGAGGCATGTAAAAGGCCTCCCCAAACACCCGCACAGCCTCCGCGCCCTTCCCGTCCCGCCGGGGCTCCTCTACCTCCGCGCGGCTGGCGGGGCCCAGCCTGGCCGCCCCGCACCGCCCTGCCGGCCCCCAGCATCCTGGGCACCACGACGAGCACGCAGAGCACGAGCACGGCCGACACGAGCACCTGCTGCGCCAGCGAGAGCGCCATAGCCTCCCGCACCGCACCGCGCTGCGCCGGGCCGGGCCGGGCCGCGCCGCCTT